AATATGAATACACAAGAAACTGCGAAAAAAAATACTAACAATGATAGTTTTGGAACTAATTACTCCACCGATTGTAAAAGAAAATGACATCAGAATGATAGGATCATCTTGAAAGGAAAAATATTAATGATGTGATATATGCAAAATGTAATATTTGCAAAGCCCGTCTCAAAACACCGAGTGATTATGGAACGACAAATTGTAATTGTAAAAGAATTTTGAAAAAATTTGTGAAAAGAGACTAAGGAAAAGTGACATTTGACAAAGTGTTATGACGATAGGAAGCAAAAAATTTGGAAGAAGTCAAACACTTAAAACCCATGTGATGGGAAGTGTTAAGCCATCTCCAACCCATTACTTCATTTTTCAGCGACTACAGTAAAAATGCAGTTGGTCTGCAGTAATTTTACTCTAATCACAAACTTAAATGTTTACTCTAAAAAGTATATTCCCTATATATTCTTCTTTTATATTATTTTATATAACTTTTTATATTTATAATTACACCATAACTTTAATTTGTTATTACATTATCACTAAAAAAATATATAATTCATATTTTATTTATAGGATTATATATCACTTTTTAAAAAATAAATTAGGTAAACCTTTTTTAGTCCCGTAACTGGACCCTGTTATCATTTTAATCACGTAAGTGTAGCATGTCGCAAACTAGTCCCATAAGTGAAGATTTTTCGTTGTTTTAGTCCTCCGGCGCTGGAGACTCTCGTGTGGCTTGCCGGAAACTACGTGTTCGCCATGTCAGCGACACCTGGGGACACGTGGATTTTTTTTTCATTTTATTTAATTTTATCTAAATTTATTTTTCATTTATTTTTAATTTTATTTGTCTTTTTTAATTTTTTTTATTTGGTCCAATTTATATATTAAAAAAAATAAAATAAAAAAATAAAAAAAAAATCCACGTGTCCGCCAGGTGTCGCTGACTTGGCGGGACACCTGGCGGACACGTGGCTTCCGGCGAACCACGCAGGCGTCTCCGGCGCCGGAGGACTAAAACAACGAAAATTTTCCACTTATGAGACTAGTTTGCGACAGGCTCCACTTACGGAACTAAAATGATAAAGGGTCCAGTTACTTGTACTTAAAAAACAATTTACCCAATAAATTATATATTATTTTTTAAAAAGTTAAAATTACACATCACTTTCAAAAAAAATAAATTATGTATCACTTTTTTTAAAAAAATATATATTATTTTTAAAATAATAAAATTATATATAACTTTTCAAAAAATAAAATTATATATCACTTTTAAAAAATAAAATTACATAGAAACACCCCAAAGTAACAAAAAACATACAATACTCCACTCCAAAAGTGGAGTGGAGCTACCGTTAGCTATCCCCATAAATGGGGTGAAAATAGAGTTGGGTTGGAGCCTCAACCCCTCCATTTCTTGCCAACCCACTGCATTTAATAAATAATCTTATAAATAATTTTTTATTTTGTTATTTTTGTTGTATAGATAATTAAAATTTATTAGCAACTATTTAATTTCATAGGTTTATCTACGTGCGAACTCCTTATACTGCTAAAGTCTTATCAAATCACTATAAGAAAATATCATTTTTGTAACGAGATTTTTTCGTCATTAAATTCACATTTTTCGTTACTAATGATATTAGAGACGGAATTAATGATGAAATTACGTTAGCTACGTGATCTTTAGTGACGGAATTCCGTTACAAATATATTATTTTTTTTGTAGTGAATATCTTCATTTTGTTTTTGACGGACTGGAATATTGATAAGAAATTATCAATTATTATTATTGATAATTGTACTACCAATTATTCGATGATGCCACAAATTTTGGAAAAATTGTCATTAAAAGATATGCTGATGGATGAAAAGATATTTCATATTAGTTGCTTTGCACATATTTTGAATTTTATTGTTAGAGATGGGTTGGAAATAATTAGTGATGCAATTGAAAAAGTGCCTAATAGTATTATTTATTGGACTGCTTCACCTTCTAGGATTGAGAAATTTGAATAAATTGCTCGTCAATTGCATATCATTTGTTCTAAAAGATCAGTTTTGGATTGCAAAACTCATTGGAACTTTACTTATTTGATGTGAGAGACGGTTATGATTTAAAAAAAAAAAAAATGTGTTCCCACGAGTTAAATACCGAGAGAGATATTACAATAGTGAGCCAAGTTATAAGGATTCCAATTGAAATATGTGGAAATCTCAAGATTTTCTATCAGGTGACAGAGTTGTTATCTGAAACTTTTTATCCTATCAACATTTTATTTTGCTCATATATGTGAGATAAAATCAAAATTAGATGAATAAGTGAATAGTTCAAATATGTTGGTTCAAGAAATGACGAAAAAAATGCTTGCAAAGTATGAAAAATATTGGAGTGATTGTCATATCATGTTGGGGGTTGCTGCTATATTGGATCTTAGGTATAAGTTGAGGTTGGTTGAATTTTACTTCAATCTGATATATTGTGATGGAGCTGAAATTAAAGTTAATCAAGTTCGTCAAAATGTTATGATTTGTTGATTGATTACAAACTTAGAATTACGTCTTCTACGGATATGAGCTCGGTGGTTGATGTTAGTATGTTGGATTTGAAAAATGTGCAATGACTCGAAATTTTGTTTCTACTGATGCATTTGATCTAGATCCATTGAACAAATATGATCAATTTGTGACAAGTATGAATGATTCTTGTAAAATTTCTATGATGTCAGAGTTGGATTTTTATTTGGAAAAAAGCATTTTACTGCGAAAACAAAATTTTGATATATTGATTTGGTGAAAGACGAATTGAGTCAAGTACCCTTATTTACAGAAAATGACAAATGATATTTTGGCTATTTCAATTTTTACGGTTAATTCTGAATCTATATTCAATAATAGTGGAAAAATGATTAGCCCTTGTTATAGTAGGTTTAATTTTTCTACTTTTGAAGCATTAGTATGTGCTCAACATTACTAATGAAATAAAGCAAATAGTAAGTTATTTTTAATATATTTTCAATTAATATATTTATATTTTATTATATTGTATGACTTATATCATTTGTTTATTTATTATTTTAGGTGGCAATTTGACTTCGGATGCTCAAAAGCATTTGACGATGAAGAATGAGATGACAATGAAAAGATTTTTGTTAGTTTACGTTTTGATTGATGATTTAATGCGTTAATGTTTTTTACTTTTAACGATGAATGCACAAACGATTGTATGTTTGATTATTTCATAAATCATAAAATGCAAGAATTTAGATATATTTTTTTTGATTGAATTATTATCATTGTTGTTGTTGATGATTATTTGTTGTTATTATTTTTTTTAAAAAAAAAAATAGATAATTGTTTATGCAGGTCCTGGTCCGGGTCCAAGTCTGGATCCAGGTCTTGTTTATATTAAAAAAATTAATATATCGGGTTCATTGGATATGTCTCTGTCTGATTCGGGTCCAATCGGATCTGATTCGGATCCTGAGTCCATATATATGTTTTCATGTTGGGTTGATAAGCGTCCGTCACATGCTGCAAAATTTAAATAAAATAAACCTACTTCTACAAGAAAAATAACATAGTATAAATTAAGTAGGGTTGTCTCATCAAGAAATTAAAAATGTTTTATTTTCGATTATTTAATTTATAAATAGAATAAAAATGAGGATTTTTTAAGTAGGAAATAAAAATAAAATAACAAACTAAAAACTCTACGATTAAAAGATAAATTCAATAAAAATAATTTTCCAATCTATTAATGAAATTGAAAACTTGGGTAGTGAATTTGATCATTGATAAACATTTATTTTTATTGATTTCTCAATAAACTAGTTATAGTTACCGACACACATCTAATAACCAACTCTTCCTTAATTTTTCAACAGTTTAGGTACACTCATCAACTGCTTCTCTAATTAGACTAGAACCCTAGTATCGCCACAATGAATTTACTAGCCTAACCGCCTTCCAAACTAGAAGAGTCTAATTCAATTTAACGATTACTATGTAAAATTGTTTAAAATAGATTCTGTGATTTCCTAATGATATCTGTCACTAGTTGCTACTTGAACCAAATTAAAACGCAATTACAGACGCTTAATTTAGTTTAGCAATCAATCTTCAATTCAATTGAAATATCCGGCCAAAATACACAACTAACATAAAGATTATAAATCAAATAAATCAGAAACCGCATAAATACTTAGGAACCAAGAAATATAATAAAATCAAAACAAAATCTAATCTCACAAATCCATACTAAGTTGTTTCTTTCACTCCTAAACTAGAAAAGTAAACTACTCGCTAATCATAGGAGAAAGAACAAATAAAGTAAACATCGGCTAAGAATGATGTTGGTAGGAGTAGAACTTGAAATCTTATTGGAAGAGTCTTTCTTCTTATTACCCTTGTTGCGGTTTCTCCACGGTGTTCTCCTCTTTGGCATGTAAAGTGGCATAATGCGTCTCCCCTTCGTTCTTTTATTTATATTTACCTTAATTTTGTAACAATTGGGCTTTGAGCATTTTAATTAGTTTTTCAAGTCATTGGATCTTTTTGTTCTCTTTTTCCTTCAATCATTCCAATTTAATCATTTTTTTTTCCTGCAAATCATAAATAAATAATATATATATATATAAATCATATAGAATTTAATCAAAATCAACGTAATATTACAAATAATATGAGTATTTAACACATGCAATTTTTAACTATCATGGGTCTTGGTAAGACCCGATTTGTTGCCATCGGAAGGAGTATTATTTTTTCATGCAATATATTATATTTAAATTATTATTAAAAAACTTAAAATTATATAAAAAATCAAATACATCCTCAAATTGTGTAGAACACCATATACTATTATATATATATATATATTTTTTTTTTTAAAAAAAAAAGGATAGTTCATACATGTTTTATTACAATAATTTAGAAAACAATATATATATATATATATGTATCTCATGAAATTCGAAAAGAAATCGAAAAGATGAACAACATTTATGAATTAAAGATATCCTATTTCCTGACATTGATGAATGATCTCATCAAACATTTCCTGGAGACCATGTTGATACTCGAATCCAGTTTCTAGAAGCTTCTTGGAAGATAGAACACTCTTCTCAACAGGTATTATATTTTTCCACGAACTGCACTTTCTCAAACAAAAATACACAACATTAAATTAATTGGTAATTGGCTCAACTTCTTCCCAAACATCGACAAAATTAAATTCGACTTAAATTTATTTAATTAATTGCTACGACTTACTTAGGATTTGGTAATTTATATTGAGGATATCTCGTGGACATAAATTGAGCCAAAGTGTCGAGTGTAATATCGACCGAGGAACAAATGTAACGGCCTCTCGCATTAGGGTGTTCGAACAAGTGCACGTGCGCTCGTGCCACATCCTCCACGTGGACGAAGCTCGTCCGTCCGATTAATCTGTAGCTCTCTTCATTGCCTGCGCGTTAATATTGCAATTGATTTTTTTCAATATATTTACGTAGCATAATATAATAATAATAATAATAATAATAATAATAATAAGATTTAAAAATAATTAATAAATTAATAAAAATAATAATATTCGCTTCATCTCATCTTAATTGAAATTTTTTTTTATTCCATAATAATTGATATTTTGGATAAACTTACTAAATTAAAACATATTTAATAAATATAAATCAACTTAATTAATATAATAATTCTTCGTTCTTTAACAAACTATTTATTTTTCTATTTTGATCCGTTTCATACAAAATATTCAGTACTGTTTTAGTAATTGTACTAACTATTTAATATTAAAAATACCTTTAAAATTTATAAGTATATTATATAAATAATATTATCTTTATATCATAAATACTAATAATATTATTTTTGTCTTTATAACTTTATTCCTATTTCATATCTTTTTATAATATTAATATATATATATATATAAAACTCCGTACAAAATATATTTAGATACTTCTTTTAACAGGCTGATGGACTATATAACATCATACATAGTGCACAGAATTTACTTAACCTCCCCCCCTTTTTAAGAAAATAAATATTTTAATTTATATTTAAAATTTCTATCTTTTTTATAAAATTAGTTAATAATAATATTAAATAAATAAATGTATTTGTTTATTTATTCGAATTATAGTAAATTTATATATATTGCATATATCTTTTATTATTATATATATATTTTTTTAAAATATTTAAATATATAATATATATAATTTTCCAAAAATTCGATATTTCGATATGATACCGTATAAATATTATTTTTATTAAATAATAATTATTAGTTTTTTTAAAATCATACCAAAAAAATATGCATACTAATGAAATGTTTTTTATTCAATAATATTTTTGTGGTGTAGAATAGTGATATTTATTAATTTTGTTTTAATTATTTTGAAATTAAAATTATATTTTTGGTATATATTAGTATTGTACTAAATCGAAATTTTCGGTATAAACGTTATATACCGGTATCATACTGAAGTCAAAATTTTCGGTATAAGTTTTATATACCGCACCGAAAATTTCAGTATACCATATACCGGTACGGTACCAAAAGTTTAATATACCGAATATATATTTTTACTATACAAAAAAATTTGATACGGTATCGATATTGATCGGTATTTTTGGTACGCTGCCGTATGTCATTCTAGGTACCAAAAGAGTAATAAATTTATTGCTACTCCCTTCATCATCCAAATATATATATTTTTTTTTTTCATCCAAATTTATTTCTAATTTATTTTTTATTAAAAAGATATCACATTTTTTATTTTTTCTTTATCAATAAAAGTAAAAGTTTTAAATTTTATCTATATTTTTTAAAATTATGAGCATATAATTAGATGACGCTTTATTTATTATAGGAGTAATAAAATTAAAGTCATACCTAATATCAGAGAAAGAGCTGTCTGCACGGAGTACGGACACCGCCGGCCGGCGAACGGCCCAAGCACCCACGTCGGGACCACCGTCACGACGTCCATCCCCCGCCGCTCGCCGAACTCCAGCGCCGCCCTCTCCGCCACCGTCTTTATCACGGCGTACGATTCTCCGGCGCCGCCCAACCCGAGGCTTCTCACGTGCTCGAAATCGGTCCAGCTCTCCTCGTCCACCTTGTCCGAATCCCCGCCGCCGAAAACCACCGCCGTCGCGCTACCGGTGTACACAAACCGCCGCACCGTCCCGGCGGCGACGCACGCCTCCAGAATCCCCAGCACACCGCCGACCGCCGTCTTCTTCTCATCCTCCCCGCCGCCCATCGGGTGGGCCACGTGGAAAACTCCGGCGCATCCCGCCACCGCCGGCGCGAAATCCTCCGGCTTGCGGAGATCCGCCTCGAAGATGCGAAGCCTGTCGGAAGCTCCCGGAATATTCCTCAGATCCCTTATGAGGTCCGTTTTGCTCTCTGAAATCGATCGATATATATATATATAATTGTGTTCTTACAAATTAATTAGGGTTTCATATTTATTAATAAAAATTATGAGAAGATTGAAAATTAAATTAAATTAAATTAAATTGAATTGAGATTGATAGACCTCTGTATCTGATAGTTGTGTTGACAGAGTAGCCGTTGCGAAGAAGATTGGTTATGAGGGTGGTTGCAAGAAAGCCAGTGCCTCCTGTGACGCACACTGATTCTCCACTCTTAACATCCGCCATTGTTGTACGGTCGATGTTCTTACAGCTTACAGTTTAGTAGTATTATGTCGTATGTCTGTATATATATATATATATATATATAAGGATAGTAACAGAGCATAGTGGTTTTGTGAGTGGAGGTGGAGGACTTCAATGGCGTCTGGGATTCATTGTACCAATTGTTGGATTGTGTTCAGATAACTACTTTAAGAAGTAGTTTAATAATGGTGTAAGAAGTAAGAGTGCATCGGCTACAGGGAATGAGTTGCTTAGAGACGATACTCCCTCTATCCCAAGTAATATGGGTCTATTACCGTAGACACTGGAATATTAGTCAGCAATTAAAAAATATTTTAGTAAAAATAATTATAAATTAAAATTAAGATAGTTAAATAGTTTAATTAAGATTAAAAAAATTTAAATTTTAAATTTTAAAATATGATTAAAGTGTATAATTAATTTTTCAAAAAAGAAAAGAACAAATTATGTGGGACGGACGAAAATAAAAAATAAAAAAAAATTATGTGGGACAGAAAGAGTAATAAATAAAAAGAAATTGAATAGAAAATAAAAATTATTATTATTATTATTATTATTTGGTAAAAATATAATAAATTGGATAATCGATTTAAATGAGATGGTATATTACGAATGAAAAAAATAAAATAAATTAATCATGGAAAACCATGAATGTAAAAATATTTAAAGAAAATAAAAATTTGTGAATCAATATTGTTATGTTTAATTGATAAATAATAATAATAATAATAATAATAAATAATAATTTTGATATGAAATCGGAATAATATATTTTAAAAAGAAATTATAAGAAATAAATAATAAAAATATATAATTAAGTATACAAATTTTATTTATTTTATTTATTTTTATCTATTTATCTGTAAATAAGAAAGAAATGAAAAAAAAAATTATTTATTTTTCAATATTAATTTATCTAGTTTAAATATACAGGAGAAACGGATAAATTTTTATTATTTTCTTTGTACCAAACAAATCCTAAAATCGTGAATTCAAAATGCTTTTATGTGGAAATGGTTATATCCCAACATTTCAAGAAAATATTTTCACTTTAATTTTTATATTTTTTTATTTGATTTTAAAAATTAATCATTTCTTTTACACATATTAATATATTTTTTCTTTTAGTATTTATTAATTATTTTAATATATTTTATTGACAAAATTATAATTTTACTTCTACAAATATAAAATTATTAGAGTTATTAATTTCTTACAATTAAATATATTTCCCTTTATTAAAAGTAAGTCAAAATAAAAATAAAAAAATTAATATTTTTATATATAATTTTCATTACATAAAATTTATATTAAAAAGAAATAAATAAAATAATTTTATTGAAAATTGTAAATATAATGAATTGATAAATAATTACATAATAAAAAATACTCTCTGCAGACTCGACTCACAAAATATATACATATTTTTATTTTGAATTATTCTATTACAAAGTAATCATTATATACTGTACTTTTTTTCACAAATATTTCTATTTTACCATTATATTATTATAACAAATTAATATAAATATTTTTGTCATTTTTCTTTAATTTATACTATATTTTGATATAAAAATTAATATTTAAAGATGAACATGACAAATGTAATTTCAAAGTGAACGGATGAAATATTATTCTTAATTTACTATAAAACTAAAAAAATGTACATTCAAAAGGGACGAGGAAGTATTAAATTATGATAATTGTATAAGAAAAAAATAAAATCACATTAAAAAACACGCTCAAATAGTAACGACTGCCAGTAGTTATATATATATATATATATTCAAACTCCCAAACAAAGACATTCTAACTTTAATCTTTATCCATTTCACTTTAACATTAAAATATTCTTTAAAAAAGTTACAATTTTTTTTTAATGAAATGAGGAGTATTTTTTTATATTTAAAACATAATATATAATTTTATGTTATATCTAAATCATCGTATATAATATCTACTTTTTTGAAAAACAGAAAAAAAAATAAAAAAATAAAAAATAAAATAATTTAGAGATATCCTTTTCAGTGCGTGAAATGGAGTGCAAGCAATGCACACTACACAAAGAGCTTTGTCTTTTTTATTACATTTAATTTTGGAGTTTGATGTGTATAAAATATTTTTTCTTTTTTTCTAAAACAAAGTCATTCCCCGTTAAGTTAAAAATAAAAATAAAAAATAAAAAATAATAATAATAATAATAATAATAATATAGAAGGATCTACATTTAATTCATATACTATTTTATTTTTATTTTTTTTCTATAGTGGGAAAAAACTCACTAAAATAAACTAATACAATATATATATATATATTATATTTTGCATATGTGAATAAAGTTAATTCAATTCATTCATACAAAAAGTTTGTTTGGCTGTGTTTTTTTGAATTTTACACAAGATTTTTACTATTCGAATTTTTCTTTATTCTCTCAAAAAAATATCAAATCAAATAATTAATTTTTTATATATTATATTACAAATTTATTTTGCATTCAAAACATCACATCATCATTTATTTATATCACATCAAATAACTATTCAAATTCAACTTTTTTACTGGCTAAAGTTCCAAACCTCAAAACCCAAACCCACTAACACACAATTTAATTTTGTATTTTAATTGAGTTTTAGTCGAAATATAGCAATTTAAATATAATATTTTATAAGAAAATTAATATTTCATTCGTCCTTTTGACAATCTGTTTATTTTTTTATTTGGTCCATCCCATAACAAAATATTCATTTCTTTTTATAGTAATTGTACTATCTACCTAGCATTACAAATACATTTTCTAATTTACAATATATTACACAAATGTCATTATTTTTATATCATACAATACTAATAGGTTAGTTTAGTATTTTTACCTTTATTTCTACTACATCCCAATATAATACTAATATTTTTAAAACTCCGTGCAAAAAGCAAATGAATAGATAAATATGGGACAGAGGGAGTATTTCTTTCGTTGGTAAAAATTAGTATTATTGGAGCCGACGTAAAAATTAAGAAAAATAATACTACTTTCGTTCGACTCTAAAGATCACATTTATTTTTTGTATGTTGATATTTGAATATTAATTATTACATTAGAACGTAGTACAAATAAAAGAAAATACCAAAAGTATTTCTATTAGTGTTTTATAATACTAATATAATAACATTTGTATAAAAAATTATATAAATATAAGAATATTTTTAATGTTATATACAATAACACAAAAGATAAATGTAACCCTTAAAGACGGACGGGCGAGAGTATTTTATTAAATAAAAGTAAAAAGAAAAAAGAAAGTTAATGGTAATTTTGAAAATATGTCGAAAGTCTTCCTAATGTTGTGCTGGTAAAAAAAAATGACATATCCGTCGATTGTTGTAGTTAGACAAAAAAATCCCTTTGATGATAGAGATGATATAAGATAGTTGGGAAATCAAATAAAATATAGGGGAAATTATTTTTTTAGTCTCGTAGTTGGACCTATTTATCATTTTAGTCACGTAATTAGAGATTGTCTCAAAATAGTCTCATAAGTGATAGTTTTTCTCATTTTTAGTCCTCCAACACCAAAGATGCCAGCGTGATACCGCGTGACTCGCCGGAGAACAAATATCTTCCAAATAAACGAGAAACATATGAAGATTTTTTTTCCTTTAATTTTTTTTAAAAAAGTGTCCGCGCCATGTGTCGCTTACTTGGTGAACACGTGTCATTCGGAAAACAACACATGTGTCACGCAGGTATCTTCGGCGCCAGATGATTAAAAGTGCGAAATTTTTTCACTTATGAAATTATTTTTATACAATGATAGTTAGAAATCGCATGCGTTAGGTGTTCAAGTTATATGCGATATTTGATTGATTTTGATTGGATTCTATCTAACTTCTGTGCGTATTGTTTATTTTCAACATGCAAGAGAGAAAAAAAACAAATTTGGCGTGATTGGAAGAAAAAGTAAAAAAAATTCAGACCATGACTAACTACACCCTTTAACATAGAAATTTAATTAAATACCCAAATACTCAGCTACAAAATAATTAGGCAAAAAAATTAAATAAAAAGAGAAGAATCACACAAGAAACAAGGGAAGAGAACGACCAAAAGCAGATTAAAAATTAATTTTAAATTAAAAATCCGAAACACTTCTTAACAAGTTATTACATTCAATTTAAATGAAAATACTGTTACTACCAAAGCAAGTCACTTCAAGTCAAATTTATGGTAACAAAATATTACCAAAAAAAAACCACAAAGTTTACATAAATTTGTTTTCATCACTTATAATTTAAAAAATTTAATATCTTCGGGTATATTTCTTTTGATGAATTTGGAAAAAAATTGATTTGAGTTTAATATTAAAATAATATATGATGAGATATTTTGTGAAAGAAAAAAAAAACATATTTATTTCGACAAATATAGAGTCCAAATAATAGAAATTTGAGTTTGATGTAAAAAAAAAAAACAAATCCCAAATACTTTTTTCTTATTTTAGGAGTTATTTGGTTCGTGGATATTTTTTGTGGGATTGAAATTTCATAGTAGGATTTACATGTGATGTGATTTTTTATATTTAGAATTTGGAATCATATCTTATGTTTGGTTGATAAAATTATCTGAGATTTATATTTCTCACATCTTATTTGTTTTTCGTATGAGTTGAAGGATTTGAATTTTTTATATTATAAATGACATATTTGTCCTCAATTTTATTATTTTGATAAATTAAACCTCTAACTCATTATTAATATAAATTGAAAAGATATTAATAATTTTATAGGGATAACAATAAGTTCGGTAAACTTGAGACCCGACCGAGCCCGACTTATTTATTTGAAGTTGAGTCTAATTATTTGAGTATTAGGTCTGGATCCGGGTCATGTTTGGGGTAATATAATAATAAAATATTAACTATACATATGAAAAAACATTTTCTAACAATATAATTATATTAAAAATATTTTTTGAATTTAACTTATTCATTGTAATATTTTTTAATAAAACAGGGTTCAGTATATGTGCAATTTTAAATTAAAATTTAAGAATTATAAATAAATAAAAAATGATTTTTTCGGATCCATTTGTCTTACCGGGTATAGTTTTGGTCGGCTCCAGTATAATCGAATTCAATTTGAGTCTCAGATTTAACAATATATATTTAGGACGAATCTCAGTTCCGTTTGAACCCGACTCATTGTCATCTCTATAATTTTATAATTAAAATAAAATTTATAATAAATAATAATTTTAAACAATGAATTTATTAAAAAAAGAAATATAGTACCATAAAAAATAATATAATTTTAATTAAATATATAATTCAAATAATAATTAATTTTAAAATTATTTTATTTTTATTTTATATAAATATAATATTATTTTTTTTATAAGAGGATATAAAAGTAAAATTTAAAATTTCAGAAATGTAATATAAAAGTAACAGGATGTCCATTACAAAAAAAAAAAAAAAAAAGACCATCTCTTAAATTAAGCTATGAATTTCATGGGCCCAAAAGTTCTTATTGGGCTTTCTTAGCTCACATAATAATATAATTCAATATCACAAATTAACAATATAATTTTTAAGTTAGGCATTGTTCCAACTTCTTTTCGATAAAATAATTATTGAATTTAATATTTTGTACTAAATATATATGTTTCAAAATTAAAAATTAAAATTAAAATATTAAAAATTTAAAAATAAAATAAACTAAATTCTCAAATTAACAAACCCTTACTATTGGCTCAAATCATCAAAACTCCCGGCCAAATAAGGCGTTTGAGAAACAAAAATTTTGTATATATAATTTGATATAAATTATATAAGAATGTCTGGAGGTTTTCTAATCTATAGTCACAATTTTTTAATATATAATATATATTTTTTATTCTTGTATATAAAAAAATAAATACTCTTAACACAATTTTATTTTTTATATTATTGACAAAATTTCATATACTCACACTAAAATAATATTAAAAAAATTAAAATTAAAACATTAAACAAACAGACTTCGATTTTTTATATTATTGACAAAATTTCATATACTACGCTAAAATAATATATATATAAAAAAAAAAATTAAAATTAAAACATTGAACAAACAGACGTTCATCTAAAATAATAGAATATTTTTACCTCTTTGAGTCATCCACAATAAATGTATTTTATTTTATTTTATTTTTATGTATATTTTATAAGTAATATCCCTACAATTCAAAATATTTACGACAATAACACTCAATAAATTTTCTAAAAACAATAATGAGTGTGTTTGTTAGTTGAGATTTTTTTACATTAAATATAAAAGATATGTTCGATAATAGAAAAATAATGTTTTGATTTGAATTATTGTGAACTTATAGAATATCTATATAATATATACTTCTTCTGTCCAATTTTTATTGTCCTAAAGTGTATTTGCACGATTTTTTAGGTAATTATTTTTTTGTTATGAATTGACAAATTTGCCCTTAATTGTATGGTAGAGATTAAAAGTAATAAATGAATGAAGGGTAAAAATGTAAAATTTGTATTTAAAAAAAGAAATAGGACAATAATTATTGGACGTCCCAAATAGAAAAGCAGAGCATTAGTTTGTGGACGGAGAGAGTAATACTTTATAAGTATATATATATATATAATTTTTGTAAATATTAATTAAAATATATATCAAAAAAAAAGTTTTATTAAATAAATACACTCAGGTGTGTTTGTTTGAAGGTTTGGATTTTGAGTTGGGATTTGAATAGTAAAAATTTTGAATTTAAATAGTTGTATGATGTAATATAAATAGATGTTGATGTGATGTTTTAAATGTAAAATTGATTTTTAGTATAATATAAAAAATGAAAAACAAGTGTTTGTTTAAATGTTTTTAGGGGGAAAAATTAGATTTAAAGTCAGGGGTTTGACAATGACATCACAGTCACAAGTTCATTTCACATTCAAATTAGCATCCGAAACAGCCACCTAAGCTGAAACCGTTAAAATTTGAACAGAGAGACTACAAATGATTTTTGGGTGAGATTAATTTTGATAATTTTTTTTTGATATGGGACCAAAAAAAATTGAAAGGAAAAACTGTTTTTTTAGTCCCGTAACTGGACCCCTTTATCATTTTAGTCTTGTAAGTGGAGCCTGTTACAAACTAATCCCATAAGTGAAAAATTTTCGCTGTTTTAGTCCTCCGGCGCCGCAGACGCCTGCGTTGCTCGCCGGAGGTGACGTGTCCGCCAGGTGTTCCGCCAAGTCAGCGATACCTGGCGGACACATGGATTTATTTATTTATTTTTATTTTTTTAAATTTTTTAATTGGATCAAATAAAAAAAATATACAAATAAAATTTAAAATAAATTAAAAATTAATTTTTAAAAAATATCTTAAAAAATGAAAAAAATAAAAAATAAAAAATCCACGTGTCTGCCAGGTCAGCAACACCTGGTGGACACGTCACCTCTGGGAACCACGCAGGCATCTCCGGCGCCGGAGGACTAAAACAGCGAAAATTTTTCACTTATGGGACTAATTTGCGATAGGCTCCATTTACTTGACTAAAATGATAAGTGGTCAATTACGAACTAAAAAACAGTTTATCAAAAAAAAAAAAAAAAATTAAATTTGAATGAGCTATTATTTACTCTTAAATTAAATTAAATTTGAATGAACTAAAATTAAATTTTTTTTTTTACTCTTATTATTATTTAGCGTGTTTATTCTACTTCATTAAACGTTTGGTTACAAGTTGGATTTAAAGGTGGTTATTATTCAACTATTTTTTTAAACTTATTAGAAGTAAGATTTATTTATGAGCTATTATTTCTATCTCTTTATAGTAAATAAACAATATATTTTTTAAGTTTTTCTACTTTTTATATATTAATTTATTTCATCCGATTCCATCGTCTCTTTCTTTTTCTTTTTTTTTTTTTTTAAATTGTCATAAAAAAAAAGAAGTTATTTTTATTTTTAGTAAAAACAAATTATACTAAATTTTGTATTTTTAATTGTAAAAAATAAAATGTAACCAAAAAATATACATTTATATTAAAATTTGTATCCAATAATAGAAAATAGATGTATATGACTTCCATGGTTACATTTTTCACGATAATTTTTCGGACGTTGGAAATGATGTTACAAATATATATATATTATGATCATTAAAAATTAAATATCTAAATTAAATTAAATATCATATATATTGAAAGAAAATAAAATTTTGATATAGTAAATATATGGTATTTAATTATGCACATACGTTAATTTTTGTACAATAAATATCACCATTAATGCAAAAATCTGCTTAAAATTGAAGATATCGTACAAATATTCCGTGCATAAATAGAGCTATAATAAATTTGACAGCAAAATAAATAAATTTTGTCAATAAATGAGGTATTATAATTAATATCTTCTGAAAAAGACAATGATATAAAGATCTTGGCAAAAAAAATGGACAATCAAATCATTCAAGAATGAAAAATGACATCGGATGAAAAATGAAAGATTATAAAATATTCATGTTGGCCAATCAAGACGCGCCATGTGGCACCATAAAAAAAGCCGAGGCCACTCCTCCCCTATGAATAGGAGTCATGGCCAATTCATTTGACGCATTGAAGTTACATCGAGGATTCAAACAAATGGGTAAGTCTTTAAACTTTTTTTTTGTATTGTTCTCATGTTTTTTGTATCATTCCAAGTGTTCTTCATCGAAAGTCACTGATTTGGACAAATAATTCAATATTGGTTGACGAATCGATGGAGTTAACGTTCATCGTCGTATGTCCAAGCCAGATGAAGGATCAAAACTCCAAAAGCCGTTGAAGAATCCATCAAAGTCAAGAAAGAGCCTCCAAAGTTCATCCAAAAGCTTCAAGGCGTTCGTCGCGTTCTTCATTAAAAACATCAACCCGACCCTCTTCGATCCAAAAGTCAAAGGGACACGCCATAAAAAAACGTTATGGAGTACCAAATCTACCTTCTCAAAGATCAATGCCTTGGAACGTTTAAAGAAGACATCAAATTCAAAGTCGACGATCAAATTGTCCGCATCGAGACCAAATTCCTCCAAAAGCCGGCAAAGCCAAACCAAACATCAAAGTCTCGGATCGTCCAAAGTAGACATCAAATCCAAAGCCGACGATCAAATCGCTCACATGGAGACCAAAATTCTCCAAAAGCTGGCAAACAAAACAAAGATGAAAGCCTCGAATCGTGCAAATAAGACATTAAATTCAAGCCGACAATCAAATCGCCCACATGGAGACCAAAGCCCTCCAGAAGCACACATCACACACAAAAATACTTTTTTGATAACCTAAAATAAGTATAAATTTGAAGAATAAGTGTAATAATAATTAGAAAAACCAAAACACACAAAACATATCTTCCATTTATTCAATCAATTGGATAGAGGTCCGGGACTTGAAGTCCACCATTACATTACTAAAAAAAAGCAACTTGGAATTTAACAAAACATGGCAAACCTAAGACATGATCAAACTCTAGAATTCTTGCAATGTCGAAAACCCCACAAATCCAAACGTTCGATCATAAATTAACTAGAGAATCCCCTTCTCTTTGCAGCTCTTTATCCCCCCATCGTACATTTCCTCGATCCCATACTTATACTCGAACCCGATTTTCTTGAGCTTCTCACTTGAAAGTCCCGATATTTTAAACATCGCCACATCTTTCCAAGAACTGCGGGGATATCAAAACGATCAATACTCGCTAAAGTACAAATTTTCACATATTTTTAAATTTTGTAGATTTAGATTATGATTTGATCTTATTTGTATATTAGATTATTTTGATTTAAGTCTATCAAATCTGTTTTATGATGCATATATTTAGACTCTTATTTTTATGATCATATAAAATAATTTTGAATAAACTGTTTTTTTAATCTCGTAACTGGACCCCTTATCATTTTAGTCTCGTAAGTGAAGCATGTCGCAAACTAGTCTCATAAGTGATATTTTTTTGTTGTTTTAGTCCTCCGACGCCGGAGACGCCCGCGTAGCTCGATGGAGGGGACGTCATGTGGATTTTATTTCTTTTTAATTTTTTTTAAAAATTGATTTTAAATTGATTTTAAATTTTATTTGTTTTTTTAAATTTTTTTATTTTGGTCCAATTGAAAAAAAAAATAAAAAAAAATAATAAAATCCACGTGTCCGTCAGGTCAGCGACACAGGCGGACACGTGGCTTCCGGCAAGCCACGCGGCGTCTCCGGCGCCGGAGGACTAAAACAACGAAATTTTTTCACTTATGAGACTAGTTTGCGACAGGCTCCACTTACGAGACTAAAATAATAAGGGAGTCCAGTTACGGGACAAAAAAAAACAGTTTACCCAATAATTTTTTAGGTTCACGCAAAATAAATTTAAGATAAAGATATGGAAAACTCACTCCTCAATTGGCATCTTGTATTCGGGATATCTTGAAGAAATGAAGTCGACCAACTCTTGTATTGTGAGTTCAATAGCCGAGCAAATGTATCGACCTTTTGCCTCCGGGTTCTCGAAGAGGTGTATATGCGCTCTAGCGACATCGTCCACATGCACTAGACTCGTATCTTTAAGGTGCGCGAAAAATTTATTGTCGCCTGCGAGTACAACCATTTAAAAGTTTCAAACAACAACAATAAATCAAAGCAACTAAAACAAACTTGTGTTTAAATATAGAGTTTTAAAATTTTTGAAAGAATTTAAAAAAGTTGTGTACCATGTTGGAATTTTGTACTATATTAAAAAATAATAGTATTTTATTAGTTAGTGAAAATATATAAAAAGTTTTGACATTTTAAACTTTGATTTTATGTATAAAGTAATTGTATGTATAATGGTATCCTTATACTTTTGAATTGGACAAACGAAAACGATAAAAAAAAAATACTTTGAATTGAAACGGAAAGAGTAAAAGATTACTTTTTGTTTTGATTTTCATAAGATAAAATGTGCATTTGATGTGATAATTACTATAGATGAATAGTCCCAAAACTTTTAAAATTGTAATTATAAGTAGAGCCAAGTTCTTTGATAAGTATAAATTTTTTTTGAAAATAAAATTATACGTACCTAAAATCAGGGACATGAAAATATACACGGAGTCAGGGCAACTGGGGGTAAGAAAGGGACCGTGAACCCAAGTAGGAGCGATAGAGACGAGATCAATTCCGAGCTTCTCGGCCAAGTCTATTGCGGCTTGCTCGGCCAATGTCTTAGTAACGATGTAGGGGCCTCCAAACGGCTTCAATTTTCGAATTAATTCCACATCGGTCCAACAAGTTTCATCGACGAGACCGTCCTCATTCTTGTTACCAAAACAAGCACTCGATATGCTCGCCGTGTAGACCACACGCCTCACGGTTTTGGCATCGGCGCATGTTTGTAAGATGCCTCGTAGCCCCTCGGTCACTCTCTTGAGCTTCACTTCTTCCGACTCTTTTTCCTCGAAGTCCAATGGATGAGCCATGTGGAACACGCCGTCGCACCCTTCTATTGCGGTGGCGAAGCTCTTGGGATCGTCGAGGTTAGCGTTGAAGATATGCAATCTTGCGGACGCGCCGGGAAGATTGGTTAGGTAGCTAATGTCCCTCTTGCGTTCTAACAAAAAAATATATATCAGGACGACAATGAGTTCAAATAATTTAGGCTATGTTTATATATATGTTTTTAAAATTTTTTATATTGTACAAAAACTAAAAGTACATACCATATTAAAAAATAAATATGTTTATTTTTCGACAATGATTTTTATTAAAATAATTTTATGCTTAACGGTAAAAATTTGAAAGCAAATGCACTCTATTTATATAGGATTATTATTTCATTTTTATTATATTTCGATTTTTTAATTTTTAATTTTTAATTGAATTCTCTTAAAATTTTACAATTTTACATTTGAAACAACGTTTATTCATATAAATTTTTTTACAATTTTTGTAAATACTTGAATAAAAACATTCGAACAGCTTAATCCAAAAATAGCATTTTACATTTGAAGCAACGTTTATTCATAGACAAAATGTTTGGTGGTGATTTCAATTTCAAATTACTTAACACTATTTTTAATAAAAATATATATATTATTTTTTTCACAAAATATAATACTTCTTCCGTCTATTTTCTATTGTCAAATATATTTACACAGTTTTTTAGTTGATTGTCTTTTTTTTTTGTTATGAATGAACAAATTTGTCTTAAATGTATGGCAGAAATTAAAAGTAATAAATAAATTAAGGATAAAAATATAAAATTTATGTTTAAGAAAAAAAATAGGACAATAGTTGTTCAGCGATCCCAAATATAATAGAAAAGTAAGACGTTAGTTTGCCATTAAAAAAATCAAATTACATCTTATTTTAAATAAACCTCAAAAGTGTAAACCAACAAAATATTCCGAGAATAAATCTATTTTACGCTTGAAAATCAATTGTAAAAAAGATAAAGGGGAAGGATAACGGAACGGAACGGACCGGGATCAATCCTGACGGTAGCGTTGACGGTGTAGCCATCTTCTAGAAGCTTCTTTATCGTCCATGAACCCAGAAAACCAGTTCCTCCCGTCACGCACACTCTTCCCTTGGAGACATCGTCCTTCGTCATCTCTCTCTCTCTCTCTCTCTTTCTCTCTCTATATATATATATATGAATGTCTGTCTGTAAGAAATAATGGAGTGGGTGAGTGAAGGCCATGGAAGCTGCAGAGCTTCATAAATAATGGAGGATGAGGGCATTTTAGTCTTTTTAATCTGTCAATGACAGGTGCTGATAGAATAAAATATCCTGTGAGAACTGAGGAGGCCCACGTTCTACTTGTTTGTGCTTCAGCGGTTTACTCGAGTTTTACATGGGTGGGTGTGTTTGTAATATGTATATTGTACTCTCACTTAAGGTATATTAATATTATATTGATATATAATAAAAATAAAATAAAAATAATTAAAATAATTTTATTAGTATTGTGCGATATAAAGATAATAATATCTGTATAATATATTATAAGTTGTAAGGATATTTGTAATGTTAGGTAAATAGTACAATTACTAAAAAAATAAATAAATACTTTGTTATAGACGGACCAAAATAAAAAAAATAGATAGTTTGTTATGGGACGGAGCGAATACTTTTCTACATAAAAGATTCCGTGTGTGTTTCTCTTCCATGAGTTTGCAAAAAATTTGTTTGGATCCGGTATGAAAGTAATTTTTGATGGAATATTTTCTGAGAAGAAAAATATTTTTTTTTTTTTTTTGAAACGCAGAGTTTAATTAATAAAATTTTAAAAAACTTTGCTAAGGAAACAAACCATCAATATTTAATAACACCTCCGTCCATATCTATGGATCCGTTTGCTTTTTTTTTTTTACGAAATTTTAGAAATATTAGTATTAATTAAGATATAATAGAAATAAAAGTAAAATGAATAAATTAATCTTATTAATATGGTATGATATAAAAGTAATGATATTTATATAATATTGTAAATTGAAAAGGTATTTATAACGTTAGGTAGATAGTACAGTTACTTAAAAAGAAAATAGATAATTTGTTATAGGACGGACCAAAATAAAAAAATAAATAGTTCGTTAAGGGACGTAAAAAAAAAAAAAAAAATCTTTAAAGTTTAACTCCACCCCAACTCACTTTATTTTTTCATCTATAAAGAATATTTCACATATATTCTTTATTTTTAAACAATTATTATCTCAATCCTATATAATTTGTCTATTTTTTTATTTCAGTCAGTTCCACATAATTTATTTTTTATTTTTTTAAAATATAGTTATTCAATTTAATCATATATTAAGATTCATAGTTTATCATTTTTGTATTTTAATTAAACTATTTAGTCATCCTAGTATTAATCTATAATTATTTTTACTAATATAGTTCTTAATTACTTACTAATTACATAATACCTAAAACTCCTAAAATAGACAAAATAGCTGAGACTGAGAAAGTACATAACATTTCTTCAACTTTTATTTATTTCCATATTAACCTCAAAAATATTTGTGTGGAATATAATGTTAATTTATTTTATATTATGTAATATTTTAATAATGTCATATATATTTATTGCAATATGAATAATTATATCTAATTCACAATTTATAAAATAACACAAAATATAAAAAAAAAAAATCAAATTAAAATGCTAAATATATAAAAATAAAAAATTTGAAGGACCAAAAATAATGCTTATAACTATTTACTTAACCGAGTTCGGGATTGACTAAGTTTGAGATGATTTTTGAGAAAATTCGTAGCCCGCCCTGGATCCAAAGACATTAAATTTCAAACTCGAAACGGTTATATGTATCTGTATTATTGTTTAAAAATTAAAATATTGCAAATATTTACATGATCATTTCGTCCTAATCTATTGAAATGAGAAACATCTTTCTAAAAAATATATTTTTCTAAAAATATATATATTTTTAAAAAGTTTAATAACACATTTATTATTTTTATTTACATATAACTTTTTAGTTATACCTCACATAAATATATATTTAAACCATTTTACTAACCAAACAAACTTCAAAATACGTGTTGAACTAAAAATAAAAAAAAGAAACGTAGGATTTGTAGTTTTGATTTGAAATTCTGATTTTTAATTTAAAAAATATTTTAATATGATATTAGAAAAATAATACTGCATATTTTATTAAAAATGATATGAAGTAATTTCAATTTAAAATTATAACCATTCATTCGATAACAAATTTTCAATATATTTTTTCAAAAAAATTACTTATATATTATATATATTTATTATTTTTATATTATCTGTAAAATTCTCTATGAATCATGTGAAAATTATTTTTTTAAAGCAAAATACGAAAACAAACACACCAATACCAATACCAGTAGCTTTCAATAATTAAATGCATGTCCATTTTGGACAGTTCACACGATAGACATAGATCATTTCTGTATTTTTAAATTATATTAAAATATTCTACATCCATTATTTCGAGATGATTCTTTTGACAAAAGTTTATTGAGTGTGTTTGATTTGTGTTTTAAACACAATTTAATATTATTTTATTCGTAAAATATATTCTCTTTCTCTCAAAAGTATAGCCTGGGTAGGATGTGACACAAAATTTAAGATATATTGATAATGGGAAAAAAGTACAAATAATTTTTTTTTTATCCTTGTGAATGTATTAGTGTAAAAAGTAGTGACAATTATATAATAATAATGAAAAAGTAAGGATAGTTTTATAGTGATATGGTTATTTATGAAAATGAGATTATTATTTTAGGACGGACAAAAATGGTCGACATGACTATTGTATTGAACGGATGGAGTATTAGTTTTTATTTATAAAATATATAATTTAAATTATTTATATATATAAAAAAATCAATAACATTTGTGTATGGGTGTGCATTGGTCGGTTCAAATCGAAAAAAAGTCATTTTTTTTCGGGACTGTTTGATGTGGATTGTTTGGTTAATTAGTTTGGATTTGTCCAAAATCGAATTTATAAATTTGGTTTCGGTTCAGTTTGGTTATGATTTTCAATTTTTAATTTTGATTAATCGAAAAAAATCGAACTTTTAAAAATAATAAAAATTTATATATTAATAACTAATATATATTATAATTTTGAGTATTTGTATTTGATTGTATATATATAATATATATTAATAAATGAAAGTTCGATTTCTTTGATTTTAAACCAAACCAATTGGTTCAGTTTATTTGATTTTGAAAAACTTTGATTCGGTTTCGATTTTAATTTTTATAAACAAAAAATCGATCATAATTGAAACTTCGATTCGGTTTGAACCGAACGGACCGAATGCACAACCCTATCCTTGTGCGTGTTTTTTTATTATTATGTCAAATTAAATATTTTATTATTCATCTCTCGCGACTTTTAATAAAACTATAATATTTTGTATCGAAAAATGTCATACAAAATACTTCTATGTTCCTTATATAGCACCAGAGTTATCGTAGACATAAGAATTTAGGGGATTCAATTACTAAATAACGAAAAATGTATTAGTAAAAATAATTAAAATATAATAAAAATAATTATAAATTAAAATTAAAATAACTTATTAGTACTTCATCGGTCCCAAATCAATTGACCCATTTGATTTGGGACACGGTATTTAAGGTAAAAGATTTTAATTAGTTAATAATATTGAATTATGATATTATTTTATTATATTTAATATGAGTAATATTATTGTTACTTTTAATATATATAATTAAAATAGATTTAAAATGTGTAAAATATTTTAAATATTATATTTTAATAAAATATATACAATATGAATATCATTTTGTAGAGAATAAAATTTTAAATAATACAAATAAACAAAAAAAAAATATTTATTTATTTATAATAAGATAAAACTAATTTTATAAAAGAGTAGAAGTTTTAAATATATAGAATAATATTTGTTTATTGTAGAGATATATAGAAATAAAGGGGTTTTTAAGTGGTTCTACGATGTATTATGTTATATATTACTTCCTCCGTCAAGTTAGAAAGTATACATGTTATATAGTAAATATTTCATTAAATACCTCACTTTTTTTTCACAAATACCTTTACTTTATATCACATCGTTACTTTTACACCAAAAAAACAAGGGCAAATATATCATTAGACTACTTTTAACTACCTATTATAATTAAAATACTATTATTTCTTAAATACTGCGCCAAAAGTAAATGTATACTTTGTGTGTGGTCGGAGGGAGTATTAAGTTAATTAAATTAATTTATAATTACAAGTATTGATAAATTTAGTAAATTTTACTAAAAATAGATGGTATCAATTGAAGTGTAACGGACAAAAGAAGAAAATAAGACAATTGAAATAAGATGGAGAGTGTATAATTAAAATTTTAATATATATATATATTATAAGTTTTGAAATGTATAAGTTTTCTTAAAAAAAATTGATACTGGTACGAACGAAAATAAAAAAATATGATATAAAATGAGAGCCGGAATGAAAAATATGATATAAAATGAGAGCCGGAATGAGTAGTATTTAAACAAAATTTTAAATATATTGCATGTGTTATATGAACATATCACAATAATTCTTCACAACAAACAATATAATAAATATGTTGTTTTAGATAAAAGTGTGTTGTTGTTGTTGTTGTTTTTTTTAATGTTCTAGTGTTAATTTATTGAACAACGCACTTAGGGATGGAAAAATTTTACCGAATATACCGAAATACCGATTTATCGTATCATATCGTGTCGAAAATATCGAAAATTTTGGTATATCGATAATTTCGATACGGTATGGATATCGTACCGAAGTTTTCAGTACGGTATCGGTATAAATTTTTAGAAAATTTGGTATTTAGGTATGATACCGTACCGATATTGTTTTTATTAAATAATTTAATTATTAATATAAATAATATTATTAATTTTTTAAAATCATAAAAAAATATGTAGACTATTGAAAATTTATTGATTTTGTCATAATATTTTTATGGTAGAGAATGGTGATATTTATTAATTTTTTTAATTATTTTAAAATTTAAAATTATAACTTTCGGTATAATCGGTATATATCGGTATCGCACCGAAATCAAAATTTTCGGTATAAGCGGTATATACCGATATCGTACCGACATTAAAATTTTCGGTATAAACGGTATATACCGGTACCATACCGAAAATTT